AAAAAAAAAAAAAAAATGGAACACAGTAAGCAATAATAAAAAATAATAATACTAAGGAACCATAATCAGGCCATGCAATCTTCTTTCAACCTTGGGTACACAAAACACTTGGACGAATTCTAATAACTCGAACCTTCCTCAGCACTAGTTCAGGTGTTGGGCGCTTTTATTTCATTCCGCCCTGGGAACTTCCTGGAAACCACCTCCCAGGCCAAGCCAAGGCCAAGGCCTACTGTGGCCTGGACAACCGACAGACCGATTCAGGCCAACGCGCTGGGGTCCTCAGGGCAGCCAGAGTGATCCTGTCAATAATACAGGGTGCAGATCACAGGCTCCTCAGCACACAGGGCACCAGGCTCCGCACCCAGGACCTGCTCTCAGAGAGGACCCCAGAGGGACCGGCCTGCGGGGCCCACCGCGCTGACCTCCACCGCACCCTCCACTCCAGCCTCAGCTCTGCCTTCTCCCGGGCTCACCTCCCCTCTGCCTGGATCTCTGCCTGACTCTGCCCCCTCCTCATCGGTGTCTCTGTTTGTGTAACATCCTCAGAGCACCTTCCCTTGACCAACCCCTTCCCAGCAGCACCCCCATCCTGCACCCATCACCCAGCCCCTCACCATGCTTTGTTTTTTTGCAAGCGCTTACTAGCGGGTGCCACTGCATGGCTACCATCTATCTTTCTTACCAGACTACGCCCTGTGCTCACAGGGATATTGTCATCGATTTGCCACTGTGTCCTGGGGCCCAGAAGTGACTGGTACAGAATGGACACTCAAAGTGTGTTGAAGAAGCGAGTTCCAGCTCACAGTGATTTTTCTCTGTGCTCTGAGTGCATATAAAACTGGCCATTTCACTGTGACCCCAAGTCACACTGCACTGTGAGCTAGTTGCTACAGAGGCAGATTTAGCAAAGGGTTTTTGACTTACTCTGAATCCCCAGAGTGGCATGGCCTAGCATATTTTAACAACATAAATGATGCTTAAAACTTGCTAATTTGGCTCAACGCTCCATCTCTTGCTCTCTGTTAGAAAAGAGACAAAACTGCTTGTCCCATCACATTAGCTATTATTTCAACATAAACACTGTCTCAAATGGTATGATAAAAATGAAAAAGACCGATGAGAAACGAAGAAAGAAAATCTATCAAGAGCTTGCGTATTTTCCTCTGACAAATTTAAACATTTGTCTTAAACAACAGTTTCCACTCACTTGGTTCCAAGTCTTACACTGACTCTTTGTTACCTGAGTAGACTCCAGAATGAAAAAAAATTCAATATTGATTTTTAAAGCCTTGTTTACATTATCATTAACTCACTACCACCATAAGCAAATAACCAATAAAGTCAAACAAAACATACTGTAACAGAACAAGAAGCTACGGCTGCACCTATCATAGGAAAATACGAAGTACCTGCATTTGTTCCTTGAACAAGAAACACCAAGGAGCCGGGATAAGCGATGCGCTAGGCGTTGTGATCCACACATTTTTGGCCCCGTTCAAAATATTCAAGTCCCAGTAACTTAAAAACCATAAAAATGGCCATATCGTAACAAATATTTGGCCAGGCTAGTGACCTAATCAATCAAATCTTTTTAAAAGTGCAGAAATTTAACACAAAGGCAACTCTGCCTGACAATTATAGAAATTAAAATGCTCCAGGAAGTTCGGCAATTTCTTTTGACAGTGTGAAGTCTTTCAAAAACTAAGTTGCGGCATATAATCACCTCCAAATTACATAATATCTACCATATACCCGAATGTGCATGGTTCCACTGTACAAATTTTTCCAGTGTCAATAAAAACTATTTAACCATAGTTATTATTCCAAGGTCATGTTATTTCTTTTTACTATTTAAGAGTATTAGTTCTTTAAAAGTTTTAAATTTTAAATTTATATTAAAAAGTCTATGATTGGAACATAGATTAATCTCTCTATGTTTTTACAAACACTAGCAAAGATACTGTACCTTGTGGACAGCTCACACAGACCCCAAGTATTACTACAACCCAATAAAACACACTTTTTGGTCTCAGGAACCCTGTAGCCCAAGTCGTTTGCCTGTGTTGGTGAGTTGATGTGCCACAGAATACATTTGCAGAAGCCAGGTTCCGCGAGTATCACAGGACTGCTGCAATTGCTAAGACCCAGGGCAAGCAGCGATGTGACCGCTGTCCTTAAAACACCTCATTCTGCAGAAAACTCGGGGCACTCACAGGCTGGCCGGACTTCACTGGGGAGAGGGCTTATGGGACGCATGGACAGGACACGCAGGCCTTGTTCTATGGCAGAGGTTAAACATTTCTTTCACTAAAAGCATATTTTAGGAAATAAGCACCAAGTGGTAGCAAAAATTGTATCAGGTTAGAAGCATTTACAAAAATAAGTACATTAAAGTTTGTACTACGTCTACTGTACACAGTCCAAAGGAAAATAATTCCGGCGTCCTTCATGTGGCCTCGGTCAGAACTCTAATACATACAACTACCGCGGCCACTTCTCCATGCCACATTTTGTTAGACTTTGCTCCCGCCACTTAGGCAGTTGCAATATAGATTATAAGATGAGGGGTTAGTGGAAGTCATAAAATAAAACCTACAAGAAATTATTCGATGTTTATATGTAGTTACCAACACTCGAATTATTTATAACTCCCATAATCAAAATGCAAATTAGTCATTTTCAAGTAAATTTAAGGGCTGAAGGATTTTGAATAGGAAAAAATGTCTACACAAACATACGACAAATGCATCGTTTCTTCTTGTCACTCTTCCTTCTCCAGCCTTGGAGAGGGACAAGGTTTCCAGCTGAGTTAGCTCCCGTCCTAGCAGGTTTTACAAGGTTGAGAGATGTGCAGCTGTGGCAGGCCAATGCCAGTTCTGACTGCATCCCTTGATCTCTTATAAAATTTCATCTCATTCTAAGAATATCGAGCGATTTCGCATATGGAAGAACCAACTGTAAACAGCAATTCTATTAGCTCTTTTATATGGTGAAATATAATAGGCTTTGTACTCAGTTCAACCGTCAGTTCTTTACTGACATCTGGAAAACTGACCCAGATTTATAGACAGTAAATGATACAGGCCAGGTCGTCAGTATTTCAAACAGCTTTGCAAGGGCAATGAACTTGCTCTTAATCAACCCAAATGTGCAGGATGGCACACACTGGTGTTTCTCGTCTGGAGACTTCACCAGCACTCAAGCTACCCAACCAATGATAAAATCACACTTCATGTGCAGAGACGTCTGAATGAAAAGACTTTGGAAACGTCAGAGGACAGAAGACATATTTAAAGTGGGACTTCTCTCTGGTGAAGTCTACTGGGCCAGAAGGAGGGCCAAGGTTCCGCACAATCCGAGAAAGGCCTCGGTTAGCAAAGTTCTGCCCAAATGAACAAACCACACTTGCACCTAAAGGCCAACAGCACCGTGAAGTTTCCAGAAGATCGAGATATATTACAAGTGGTGTTTGCAAGCAAGTCCGATCCGCACTTCTAAAAAAGGTACCCAAAAGCAACAAGTCAAGGGAAGTGTGTCACCTGCCCGAAAGCCGGTCAGCCAAGGTCTAGCTGGGTCCTGGAAGGCCTGCGCCTGGGGTGCTGCTGGCAACCACGCCGGCCCCCGCCTCCTTCCGCCTGGCATGGGGCCCAGGGAGCCCGCCCAGCCCTGGCACCGGGGTGGGCTGCGCAGGGCCTGGCTCCGCGCATTCCCCGGTCCCCCGGCCCACTTACTGTTGCTGGACTTGAGGTCCCGGTGCAGGATGGGCACCACCGCCTCCTCGTGCAGGTAGAGCATGCCCCGCGCGATCTGCACCGCCCAGTTGACCAGCACTTGCGGGGGGATGCGGCGCGCGC